GCGGCGGCCGCCTGGGTTGTGCGCTGCAGCCTACTGACCGTCGTGTTGGTCTTCAGCTCGAAAGGCTCCGCCGCCTGACCCTCTTCATCCTCCTCCTCCTCCTCCGTTCCTTTTCCTTATAGAGGACTCCTCCCTGTCGCACCCCGAGGTCGGTCGAAAAGGCAGGCCGGTCGTTTCGCCTGAGACTTCCTCACCTCATATGACCCTGATGCTTAAACATAGGCAACAGCTTCACACATGGAGGGCGGGCGGTTTTCAAAATGTGTCTCTCGTCCTAGCGCCGCGCACACTCATTTTAAAACTTTGCAGAAGCTTCACGGATTGAGGGCGGCACGTTTTCAACATGTGGCTCTCCCCTTAGCTCCGCGCAAACTATTTGGAAGAGTTAGTAAGAGCTTCACGGATTGAGGGCGGGTTTGTGGCTCTCGCCTCAGCACCGCGCACATTCTCTGGAACAAATGCAACAGCTTCACGGATTGAGGGCGGGCTGCTTTCAAAATGCGGCTCTCGCCCTAGCGCCGCGCACATTCGTTTAAACAGATTGCAGAAGCTTCACGGATTGATGGCGGCTCGTTTTCAACATGTGGCTATGGCCTTAGCGCGGCGCACACTCGTACTGCAATTTTGCAGCAGCTTCACGGATTGATGGCGGTTCGTTTTCGAAATGTGGCTCTGCCTTCAGCGCCGCACACACTCGTTTTTAATAGTTGTAAGAATTTCACTGGTTCTGGTTAACGTGCCAGAATCTGTGTTTTGGAGCGATTCAGGATTGTTCGCGGAGTTGAAATCGCAGGAATGGTGTTCTGGCGCGATTCAGGATCGCCAAGTTAGGAGTTAGGCGTACTCGTGGCGTTAATGTCCTGAAAATGATGCTCTGGCACGCTTCAAGATGTTCACACGGTTGCCCCCAAACGGGGCAATTCCCTCAGTGGAAACGACCCCTTTATAGGGACCTATGAAGAGGCATCTTGGAGGGAGGGCGTATTTCACCATCGTTGATGGATCTTTGGTTTACACAAGTGACTTCGTCGGGCCCAGATGTTGCGGGCAAGATGTATACTCGGAGATTCTTAATGGGCGTCGGGAGGGCGTCACCCCCGCCGACAGACCCCACATCGACACCCGTCGCTGGCAGCCACCGCGCGCCGAAGGGACTCCGACCCCCGTCGCGGCGCCCCAGAAACCCAGAATATCCGTATCCACTGCGCAATGGATATGGACAAACATCTGGCCTCTAGGGCCAGATTCTGATCCATACCAACAGCGACTCGGGTGTCTGGGTAAACATCTTGCCCGCAGATGCGCCGGACACCTGGAGTAGATCAACGGCAATCAGGCGGCCCTCTCCGGAGACGCCGCCAGCCCAGAACTCCGACGTCGTGATTCTTTCAGAACGTCCACCCCCAGAGGTCTGGACCCCGTCTCCAATACTGTACTGGTGTTCTTGATGCCAGGCCGTTTTTTCATGGTTCCGAGGCCCGATAGGGGGCCCCCCGGGGCCGAAAACGGCCAAAGACCGCCTGTCGTGCCTTCTTCGCGACGAGAAGAGGTGGGGGCCTCTCGGCGAGTTGTGGCCCCGTGGTGCCTGCAGAGGTGCGCGCCCTTTCACGAGCCCCCTCGCCAGGGGGCGGAGGGCAAAGGGCGAGGGAGCGTGAGGGGGGGCCCGGATCGCTCTGCGGTCCAGTCTGAGGTGGTGCACCAAGTGAGTCCTCGCAAAGCTGCCCTCTGCTTCCGCGAAGACGTGGACCGAGAATGTGCTTCAAGTTCGATGCCCGGCCAGCTCGGGCATCGAAGCTGGGGCCCCGAGGGGAAACTCCTAAAGAAGAGGCTCCTGGAAGACCTCGCTCAGCCCCTTCCAAAGGAGGGAGACTCCCGAATCTACCTCCCACCCCTTCGTTGAGGCAGCCAGCCTCGGGGGCTCAGGCTGTCCAAACGGGACGTGCCCGCAGGGCGGCTGGGCCAGCTATCCAGTGGGTCACTCCAGCCAAACAGGGGGCAGGGGAGGGGGCGATCCCTCGTCGATTGTTTTTCCCCACCCTCCTTGGTTGGTATTCGTTTTGAATAGAGCACTGCGGTCGCGTCTTCTCCTCCCGCCTCCCGCCTCCCGCCTCCCTCTTGTCTCCTCTTGCCTTGTGCGTACCTCTTGTGTGTGCATCGTGCCTGCGCCACTTTCGAAGGCTGCTGGGAGGGACAGCATAGTGGGTGGTAGCCGCCGCAGATCCAAAGTAGACATCGCCATCCCTTGGGGGCTGCGATTTGCCAAACTGTCGCCACTTTTGAGGGCTGCTTGGGGGGCCAGCATGGTAGCCCGCAGATCCAAATTAGACCTCGCCATCCCTCGGGGGCTGCGATTTGCGAAACCGTCGCCACTTTCGAGGGCTGCTTGGGGGGCCAGCATAGCGATCTGCGAAACTGTCACCACTTTCGAGGGCTGCTGGTGGGTCCAGCGGAGTGAGGCACCGCGCAGATCTGAGCGGACCTCGCCGTCCCTGGGAAGCTGCGATCTGCGAAACCGTCGCCACTATCAAGAGCTGCTGACGGGTCCAGCGGAATGAGGCACCGCGCAGATCTGAGCGGGACCTCGCCGTCCTTGAGCGGCTGCGATCTGCGAAACCGTCGCTAATTTCGAAGGCTGGTGGCTGGTCCAGCAGAGTGGGGCACCACGCCGATCTGAGCGGGACCTCGCAATCCCCGGGGGGGCTGCGAGCCTCACGAATGCCGCTCGCAGAAATATATGCGCCCATGTCACGTCATCACCTTCGTATAACGTCTCCCAAGCTACTCATGCACCGCATTGCGCAGGGGTTGGGTACGTCGCCAGGGTAATTACAAGTCTGTTTCCCGTCCCTGAAGTGCTCAGGTGAGGGGACGGATAGGGTGCGTGGCGGACCGACCTTGGACTTTTCACATTTACACCGGTCAGCCTCATTCCTCCTCCCTCCCTCCCCTCTCCTTTGACTGCTTTCCCCTTCCGTGGAGGAGGGAGGGAGAGGAACGGGGTGGATCCGACGTCCGCATGAATGACGCCGCAGCGCCACGGGCCGATCCGTCACCCAAAACGGGTGAGGAGAGGGGGCGACCACACGAGGGACGCCATGGCGGCACGGGTCGAAGACTCACCCGAATGAAGAGGTGGGTCGGTGGGTGGCCGGGTGAGGGGGAAGGGCAAAGAAGGAAGGAGATGGAGAGAGAGGAGTAACGGAGAAGAGAGGGCAAGGGGCGTGGTGGGGAGCCCTGTCTCTGGATCCGATGTACTTTGGTCGGTTTCGCAAGTAGGGCGGAGAATCCCGCCCTACTTTTCAAGCTCCTTTGATGCCGATGTCCGTCCAGCTTTGCCGTCCCTGTTTCCACCGCACCTTTGCGGACATATCCGGCCTTCTTTTCTGCGGAGGGGGAAATACGCCCTACATGTTCGCATCGAGGTGACATTTCCGACACAGTTTTGGGTCAGAAAGTCAAACAGGGTACGGCGGATCCAGAGTCAGGGAGGGGCGGAGGAGGGAGAGGAAGAGAGGGAAACTGCTGGGAAAGGGGATGGGATAGAAGGAAGCACGGGAGCGTGAGAGGGGAGAGGCGATGGGCAAAGGAAGAGGACGGGAGGAGTGCAAGGGAGATGGGCAGATAGGGTGGAACGTGATGGGAAGAAGAGAACGGGTGGGAGGGGGCGGGATGGGATGGCAGGGGAGGAGAAGGGATGGGAAGACAGGGGGAGAGGGGAGAAGAAAAGCGCGGGGAAGGGGCCGGAAGGGCGGAAGGGGAAGGGGGAAAAGGGGCGGGGAGGGAGCACGGGGGAGGGGGAGAGGAGGGGACTGGCCAGAAGAGCCTGGTAGGGGTACAGTGTCCCAAACTCGATCATCCCGCCCAAGTTGTGTTTACATTTCGCCTTCCTGCTTCTGGTAATCTACTCCGCCTCCTCGTCCTCGTCCTCCTGCACCTCGCCCTTCTGCACTCCTTCCTCCTGCTCCTCCTGCTCCTCCTGCTCCTCCTTCTCCTCCTGCTACTTCTCATCCCTCTCGCCTCGCTCCTCCTCGTCATTATTCCCCCCCGTCCACCTGCAGCTCTTGCTGCTGCCGCTACTAAGGCTGCTACTTCCCCTCCTCCTTCTCCTCTCCATCCTCCTCCTCCTCCTCCTCCTCCTCCTCCTCCTCCTCCTCCTCCTCCTCCTCCTCACTTACACGCTAGGCGGCCCCTTTGCAAAAGTGACTTTTGGGGCGCGGCTCTAGGGGGACCGCGGGGAGACCAAATCCGATCTCGTGGGCCATTGCTTGGGGGGGCCCCGTGGGCAGGCACCAAAGGTCACTCCAGCGAAGATTCACTCTTACTCCGAGCCGCCGCCCACCCCCCGCCCCCCCACACCTTCAGGATCCCGTTGGCCACGGCGGACATGCCCGGCACGCCTGTGCGATGCCAAGAAGACAGCTGATTCTCCTACCTAGAGCTGTGGCGGAAGTGCACATCAAGCGATACGAAAAATTAGGGCGGAAGCCTCTCCCTCGGAAAATGGGGCAGATATTTCCGCGATGGTTCGGCGGACAGGGCGACGGCAAGGTAGGGCGGACATCGACATCAAGGGAGCCTACAAAATTGGGCGGAAATTCTCGCCCTCCCTGACGAAATCGCCCAGGAGGTACGGCGGATCCGGAGTCAAGGTCCCCGCGCGCGAGGCCTGAAAGGTCGCACTGCACTCGCCTGCTCCGGCTCGCCACGGCCTCTGGCCCGAGGGGCTCCGCACGAGCAGACCCAGAGAGGTCGGCCGAAATATCTTTCTGCGGCAGGCAGCCCCACGAGCAGCTGCCACCTCCCAGGCGAAACGCCTCGTTGCGATGGCGGCGATTCGCAGCGTCAGGGCAGAAACGCGACCGCCTGTCGTGGACGAGCAGCCGCAAAACAGTGGAAAAGTCCAGGAGGTGGGAACAGGCAAGAGGAAAAGAGAGAGAGAGAGAGACAGAGAAAGAGAAAGAGACGTGCAGACAAAGCTTTGAGACAATGGGGACGTCCTCTGGGGCGGTCGGAGCGCCAGGTCAGTGCGGGCCCTCCCCTCCCCTTCCGCCCCACCCCCTCCTCCACCTTCTCCTCTTCACCTCTCCTTCTCCGTCCGCCTGTTCTTCCTCCGTTCTTCATCACCCTAGTGCCAAATCCCTCTTCCACTACCTCCTGCCTCATCCTCATTCCCCATCTCTCCCTCCTGTCCTCCGCATTCAGCAGACAAATCCGATCAGACATCTTGCTATAAGAAATGTTGGGACATGTTCTTCATCGACCTTTGAGGGTCACACGGTGGCCCAGAGATTCAGCAGATTCCTGGGGTCATCGGGGGATTAGAAATGGTCACCTGCTTGCAGGCCGATTTCTTAATGTATGCCCCTGCTGTACCCCATCTGGACACCTCAGACAAGTACTATCAGAAAACATCCCGAAGACCTCGGGATCCCCCTCTCCCCCCTTCCACGCCCTGCTCCTCTTTGCTCCCTCTTTCTCCTCCTCCTCCTCCTCCTGCTGCTGCTCCTCCTCCTCCCCCTCCTCCTCGAGACGTCGGAGGACACTGGCGGCTTCATATCTGGAAGGGAGTGGGCGTTGGGACCTGTGCGCCTTCGGGGTCGTACCGAGATGCCCTCAACTAGAAGTCACTGGCGCCAGTGCCAGACAACGATGGAGCAATTTCTCCGCCCATCGCCCGACTATTTACACTTCTCCGCTTCGACTCACTCTCCATCCTACTCCACCTCATCATCCCAGTTCGTTATCATCTTATCTTTCCTATTCCCACTTTGCCCCATCCTCCACTTCATCGTCACCCTCCTGCCGTCTCTGCTGTTAGGCTCCTCGTCGATCATCTCCATGTCCTTCTCCTGATCCCTCACTCATCCTGCTCTCCTTTTCACTCTCCCACCCTCCTGCGTTCCCTCATCCTCCTTCTCCTCCTCCTCCTCCTCCTCTCCTCCTCCTCCTCCTCCTCATCATCATCATCATCCCCTGCTCTGGCAACGGTGCTACTGAGCGCTGCCGCCCCCGCCGCCCTTCCGGCCAATGCCGCTACTTCTTCCGTCTTCCTCCTCGTCCTCCTCCTCCTCCTCCTCCTCCTCCTCCTCCTCCTCCTCCTCCTCCTCATCATCATCATCTCATCATCATCATCATCATCATCATCATCATCATCATCAGCATCATCATCATCATCATCATCATCATCATCATCATCAGCATCATCATCATCATCATCATCATCATCATCATCATCATCATCATCATCATCATCATCATCATCATCATCATCATCATCATCATCATCAGCATCATCATCGTCCTCCTCGTCCTCCTTCCTCCTCCTCCCTCCTCCTCCTCCCTTTCACCTCCCTTTTCCTCCTCCTCGTCTGCCGCCCCCCCCCCCAGCCCCCACTTCCTCCTCCGCCCCACCCCCCTGCTCCACCTCCTCGTCCTCCACCACCTCCACCTCCCCTCTTACACCTCTTCCTTTTCCTCCTCGAGAACGGGGGACTGTGGAGCCCCTCGGGGTCGAGGACGCGCGCGCGCGAGACTTTCACACTGAGTTCGCGCGACCGTCTTTGAATGCTCTGCGTGCTCTGTGGCGTCCTCCTCTCTATCCTCCTCGTTCTCCTCCTCCTCCCCTCCCCCCTCTCCTCCTCCCTTTCCCTGTCCTCCTCCTCCTCCTCCTCCTCCTCCTCCTCCTCTTCCTCCTGCTTCTCCTCCATTCCTTTTCCTGATGAATAACTTCTCCTTGTCGCACCCCGAGGCCTGTCTTTAGGGCGGGCTGGGCGTTTCGCCTGAGACTTCCTCACAATTTCTGACTATGAAGTGTAGACAGTGGCAACATCTTCACAGATGGAGGGCGGGCCGTTTTCAACATGTGGCTCTCGCCTTCGCGCTGTGCAGATTCGTTTACAGACTTGCAACAGCTTCACAGGTGGAGGTCGGGACGTTTTCAAAATGTTGTTTTCACCGCAACGCTGCGCAATTTTTCCTAAAAACTTGCAAGGTGTTCACGGGTTGAGGGCGACCCGTTTTCAAAATGTGGCTCTCGCCTTAGCGCCGCGCACACGGGATTTAAACATATGCAAGAGCTTCACGGATTGAGGGCGGCTCTTTTTCAAAATGTGGCTCTCGCCTTAGCGCCGCACATGTTCGTTCATAGAATTTGCAAGAGCTTCACGGAATCCCACGATCAGAGTACCAGACAGAGCGTTGTGGAAGGATTCAGGATTATGCGGGTGCAACAAATACGTTGGTTCGCGTTGTTGAAGTCCCAGGAATGGCGTTCTGGCACGATTCAGGCTCGTGAGGACGCAACAGTCAGGTTGATCCGTGGCGCTGGAACCCCGAGAACAATGTTTCGGCATGCTTCAGGATCTTCAAACGGTTGTCTTGCAACGAGGCAGTTCCCTCAATGAGAATGAGCCGTTGCACAGGCCAATGAAAAAGGAGCTTGGAGGAAGGGTTTATTCCAACATCGTTAATGACTCTTGGGTTTACTCTGGTGCTCCTCCTCCTCCTCCTCCAACTCCTCCTCTTCCTCTCCTCCTCCTCCTCCTCCGCCTCCTCCTCCTCATCATCATCCTCCCCCTTCTCCCCCTCCTCCCCCTCCTTCCCCTTTTCCTCCACCTCCTCCACCTCCTCCCCTACACCCACCTCTTCCCCTCCAGCTCCTCCGTCCTCCGTTCGCCGTCCTCCCTCCTCCATCTCCTCCTCCTTCGAGAAGAGGCGGAGGAGACTGAGGAGGAGTGGGGGAGAGGAGGGGGGTGGAGGAGGAGACTGAGGAGGAGGAGGAGGACGACGACGACGAAGATACTCCCCCTCCTCCTCCTCCTCCTCCTCCTCCTCCTCCTCCTCCTCCTCCTCTTCTTCCCCCTCCTCTCGGGGATGGACAGAAACCCCTGTAGCAAAACGCCCTTTTGGTGAAAATTGCCAAGGGCACTCCACGTGCGCACGGCACCGCATTCCGAGTAGACCCCACCGGGGTAGCAAATCTACGTTCAAAAACAACCGAATGTACCTGGCGAAACGCACGCCGACTAGCAAAACCGACTGCGGACTGCACCGGTACACTCGACTGCCAATGTCGAGTGAACCTGTGCAGAGATTTCCTCAGTCGACTTGTCAGGGGGGGGGGCGTTCTGTCAATGCCCGACACTCCGACGCCCCTCCCGCGCCGCCAGCGCCGCTCACCAGCAGCTCTGGCCCAGACTGCCACGCGAGACGCGCGCGATTACCTACGCGCCCCTGCGGGCGACTCGTCGCCATCCCTCCTAATCCGAATCCTGCCCCCCCCCCATTCCTTCGAACTCCCCGACCTCTTCCGCAGCGCGTTCCGACCAGGACGTCGGGGCGGACCCTCCCTGGCGTTGCCCCTCCCACGCCGCCGGCGCGCCGGTGCCGCCGGGCGGCCGCCTGCGTAGACGGGCTGCCCCTCCGCCGCGCCGCGCGACGCGGCGCCGCCGGCCTCGCTCCAATGGCAGAATTTTTCCCACGCAAGATCTCTGACCGCCTCGTCGTCAAGCGCTGTAAATGTGAATAGATATGTGTATATAGATATATGTGTCTTATGTATAGAAACATACGTATGTATGGTTATACATCTATGCAAGACTTGAGGCTCGCTGCGCTTCGCTTTTATGTACTGGAATAGTGCGCCGTGTGCGAGGCGAGGGGGGGAGGACAAACGAGCATATTGGGCCGAAACGCAGCCATGTGTGGAGGCAAAGGGGGCTGCGAGAAGCGGCAAAGCACGTGGGGTGGTGGAGGAGGTGTGCGCGGTTCGACGACGGCGACGACGACGTTGTCGTCGTCGCCGTCGTCGGTGATCTTGACGAGCTCTTAGGCCTTCTGGAACCGCTCTTTGGGGCGTTTCAACCGTTTTCGGCCCGCAGCAACGGATGATGAGAGCGGCGATCGTGACATTGTGAAGAACAAGTAGGGATATAGTAATGATGCAGTAGTGGTGGTGCCGACGGGCACGGGGGAAATGGTGGGTTCGGGAGCTAATTTGGGGCGCGGGCTGGAGGGGGGGGGGGGGGGCAAGTGACGGGGCCTTCGGTTCGGAAGACCAGGGTCACCAAGGCCGGATGATGATAATGATGACGGCGCCGCTTGCGAAAGGAAGGATGTTTTTTTGAAGGGGCATGAGGGCGTGCGGTGAACGTCTGGGGTGGTCGGGGAGCCTAGTGGGTTGTTTGCGGGGCTCTGAAACTTTAGGGGGGCTGCTGGGCGGTTTGTCTGGCGGTGGGATGGCTCTGGAACTCAAAAGCTCTCGGATGTCCTGTTGGGGAAGATGGAGGACTCGGAAGACTGCAATGTGAGGCGTTTGGGGGCTTCGTGAAGGTTTGGGTGAGGTCTTTTTTGCGGTGGGGGCGTGTTCGGGGCTGCGTGTGCGTTTCTCGGGTTGTCTTTAGGGAACGATGGAGCGTTCGGAGGCCCGTCGTCGGCGCGGGGCTCGGGGGCTCGGAAAATGACGGGGAGGGCTTCGAGAAGGGGAGTTTCCAGGGGCGAGCGACGACAATGAGCGAGGCACCGTTCAGAAGGTCTTTGGATTGACGCGGGGGGTGGTCCGGCTGGCTCGGAGGGTCGAAGAATGGCCCCTGGACCAATCCACTGGTGTTTTTCGGCTAGATTTGCGAAGGGGTACAGGCGTGGCCTTGGGAACCTCGCATGGGCCCACTAAAGCGCGACGACGTCGAAAACGATCCCCGAGCTTCGGTTCCTCATTTGTCATCGACGCGGGGCGAGAGCGACGTGCACCTGGGCGTCGAAAGCATTTTGAATCCCCCGTCTTACGCCCCTCCCCACAGTGAATACCACGTCGGAATGTCTGAGAATGGCCGATGCCAGCGAGCTGCACAGAAACAGCGCCCCGTTCAGGCAGCAGCTACCCCTGTTGCGGATTTTTCTTCTGCGTCTGTAACGGCAGGCGGACGGCGCGATCGTGATGATACTTGCGGGCCCGACAGCGATGGCGAATCTTATGTTCCATCCGTTTTTGTTTGGATTCACCTGTCGCTGTCGCCGCTACTTCCGCATGCCCCGTCGAGCGGCCCGAAGCGACTGCGAGCGCGCAGCAGTCAGCCCAGTGCGGGCGCCCCACGGCTGCTGGCGAGGTCGGCGCCGCAAGCAGCGGAGCTGCCGGTGCGCGCGAATGGCATCCGTCTCTCGGGTCGTCGGGGGGCCCAGTCTTGAGCCCCGACCCCTCGGCAGCCAGCGGCCCGCCTGCGCTGGTCTTTCCAGGGGGGGGCGCCTCTCGCAGCGCAAGAGAGCGCTTGCAAGGACGTGCGCCGAGGCGACTTGGGACGGAAGGATGCACTACAGCAGAGCAACTCTTTTTTCGCATTGCAGGGGGCTCGTTCCAACGAAAGCCTCGTGTCGCCCTGGCCAAAGGCTAGAGCTAAATGGCGTCTCTCACTCCTCCCAGGGCGGGGGGGCGGGGGCCGAAGACAGGCTGTGGAAGGGGGTGGGGCCAAGCGAGAGAAAAAAACATCAGGCGCAAAACTTCCTGGATCTTGAAGCAGGTGCGTTGGGTCTCCGCCATCGCCGAATTCAAACAGCTCCATCTCAAACCGCTCAAGAACATATAGGGCAACTCTTTGTTCACATTGCAGGGGGCTCATTCCAACGAAAGCCTCGCGTCGTCCTGGCCAAAGGCTAGAGTCAAATGGCATCTCTCACTCCTCCCCGAGTCTCCCGAATTCGGGAGTTCACTAGGGTTGGGAAGAGGGGGGGGGTTTCCGATTGTATCGAAGACGGGCAACGCCGTCAGGGCCCTGACTATGCAGTGCGCCAGCGCTGGAGGACACGCGGCTGCGGGGCGGGTGCGAGCGCCCCCTTCCAACTGGAAACGAGGGCGACCCGAGCGAGAGCACAGACCACCCCGCCCCCGGCACCGCCTACAGAGATCCACGAGATCATCCTTTACAGCATGGCAGAACAGCAAATGAGTTGGCCTCTTACACTGAGCTTTGAATTTGCATCAGTCTAAATCGACCAGGCTGACACATGGCAGGTGCGAGAGCGCTTGCACTTCGGGCGCGTGCCAAAGCCGAGAGGCGAGCGGGTGGTCAAGCACAGCAAGTATCTTGAGCTGATGGAACAGAGCGAACAAACCTATAGCGGCACGGGCACTGGCATTTCCTGTATCGAGCTTCAGGGCGTCTGGCACACAGAGGCAGGTCTTGGGCAACCCCCAAGGCTGGTGTTGCGAGCGAGCACGAGCGATCGAAAAGGTTCGACAGGGCGGCGCAAGCGTGGCAGCTGAGACGAAGCCTCGTCGCGCCTCGCGTCTGATGGCGGCAAGCACTGCATTGCCGGTGAGGTCTTGCCAGACTGGATCGTGAGCAATGTCCCAGCTGCGACACCTAAGCCCTAGCTTCTCGCCAGCGCGCGAGATGCACCTGCTGCCCGCAAAGAGATCTGCCACATAGCGTCATTTAAGCTTACAGCGCTGGGCAATGAGGTGCTTTTCGCGGCCGCCCCGACAAGCATTCATCAACTTCCCGTGCGAGCCTGCCATGTCGTGCAACGAAATGGGCGGGCTAGACCCAGCATTATCTGCATGAGGTGGGCCTCGCACGCTTCGCGCAGGCGCCTCTGGCCATCTCGGAAGCGCTCGTATTCGGCGCTCAGGCGACTGCAGTTCTCGCAGCGGTGCATGCTTCGGGCCTGCGCCCAACATCCGCGCCCCCGAATCTCCTCAAGCGCGCGGGCGCGGCGGCTCACGTCGATGCTCGCGCCTGAGTGGCGCGGCTGGTACGGCGTGATCTTCCCCGCGCCCACCTCGGCTGCGGCCACCTGGACTGCCTCCGAGAGCCAGGTAGGTGAACGGCCACAGCTTCGACGCGTCGCCTCGGTCTCTGAGCTGAGCGAAGAGCAGGCCCAGGCCGCGCAAGTAGCTCGAGTCCAGTGCAGGCAGCCCTCGTCGCAACGGTTCGTCTTGCTTGGCCTGCCCTCCTCTTCCGACTGCGCCAGGGGGCTCCAGCTGCCCACCGTCGCGCGCGGAGGAAGGGCGAGGTCGCACTTCCGCGCCGCCAGCAAGGAAGAGGGCCGCGAGTAGGCTGAGGGGCCGACCGCCACGAACAGGGCCATGAGCGGCAGTCGCCTGTCCCCCAGGCGCCGCATCACGGCCGCCCAAGCAGCCAGAAGCAATGCGCGCCTCGCGCGGGAGGGCGGGGGCCGCCCCCAGGCCTTCAGGGCGCGCCAGGTCCGCGGCAGCGACCGACCCCCGCGGCGGCCAAAGGCAGGGTGCCTGTCCAACTGGGCAACCCCTGTCTGGCCCCCCAGACAGCTCTGCTCCCCCGACAAGTGCATCACGATGAAGTGGTCGCACACCAAGCAACCCACCTGCTCGTCCGAAGCCTTCGCCAGCTTCTCGTCGGTCAGGCCGGCATGCGCGCAGAAGCGATCGAGATATTTGGAGCGACACTCCTGCGCCCCGCGGGCCACAGCCAGCCGCTCCAGAAGCGCTGGGCCGCCTGCGGCACTCTCGATGACCATGTCGGCGTAGAGGGCAGCGCGCCGCCGGCGGCGGCAGTCCTGGCGGCCCCGCCTTCGCGGGGGCCCGCGGCAGCAGCAGCGGGCGGGCCCGCGTGGCCGAGACTCTTCAATTGGGAATCGATGGGTTCTTCAGGCAAAGAAGGAAGGCGAGCTAGCTGATCTTTTGAGCTAAGAGGCCCACGGGGGTGGCCAGGCGAGGCCATCGCGGTGACCTAACCAGCTGATCCAGGACATCGGTTAACAATGCAAACGAAACTTCTGTTCTCGGCTATCCGCATCACTCCGATTAACCCCCGAAGGGGCCCGCCTGAAATAGGGGGCGATGCCGAGGGCGAGGGCGCGCGCATGAAACTTTCGAACCTGGACTAACAGCTTGGAATCCTGCCTCCTTGAGCGAGCCAAAGCGAGAACAACGGCAATATTGCCACACAAGAGAAGCTGTCTGATACAGGTCCCGCGTCTGGAGCGAGCCGGCCTCGGAATGGCTTCCAAAAGGGCCCGGGCCTCCAACGCTAAGATCCCCTCCTCAAGAACCCAGGCTCCGTTCTGGGAGGTTTTCCACGCTGAGCCACGAAGGAGCTGCCAGGGGGCTCCACGACTTCTCCACTCGCCAGCGTCGTCACGGAAGAGGCGGGCGGAGGTGGGCGCGGACCCCCGGGCCGACTGGGGGCCATCCTCTTAAAACGAGACCGCTCGACGACACGACCGACGCGGGCCACCTGGGAGGGGCCCCAAAAACTCTGGGCAATTGCCCAACCGGCGAGACTGGCGCCAGCTTCGAGGGCGCACGGGGTCCGAGGAAGCCACCAGTCACAAACCAAAAGCAAAAGGATCCCGCGGAAGGCCTGGTGCTCTTCGATGACCTCAGGCCAAATTGGGCCCGCGTCAAAATACTGTGCCGAAATGAACTTGTAGACGGCGTGGAAAATCGAAAGTGACCCGCGCGCGGCCAGTCCGCAGAACGCACAAATCCCAATCACCTTTTGAAGAGCCTGGCCGTTGCAACGTCCTCGGGCGAGCAGGCCAGTCAGTCCTCACTCGAGCTTCCAAAACCAGCTCGAGGCGATCCCTGAGCGAATGCGGCTGCCGCCCAGCTCAATCCCAAAGGCCTCGCCAGCGCCGCCGCGCGACTCCGACTTGTGGAGCGCCAGGCCGACTGGCTCGAACAAGTCGCCCCACTCCGACGCCACCCCCTCGCTGAGGGGCGCCCCGCCCGAGCCCGCGTAGACGCAGGCGCTGCCCGCGCTGCGCCCCGCGGCTTTCAGCGCGAACGCCTCGGCCTGGCCCTGAATCAAAGGCTGTCGTCTACCGCCGGGGGTCGCCCCCCGCAAGCTCGGGCCCCTGCAGACCCGGCCCTCGTTCGCGGCCTGGGCCAAGTAGAGGGGGCCAGGTGAGGCCCGCGGGCGGGGCCGCCAGGTGGGGCCGCGCGAGAGCGCCAGGGGGGGGGCGCCCGCTGGCAGCGGCCGAGGCCCTCCCGAACACGCACCTGGTAGAAGCGGCCCTTGACGTCCGCGGCGGCGACGCAGACGGTGAAGGCGCCCAGCAAGCGGCGGCCCTCAGACGAAGAAGGCATGGCGCCAGGCGGCAGCTCGACCTCGACACGACCGAAGCCCTCGCTGCTCAGAAGCTGCACGCCAGGCGGCGCCCTGTAGTGCCCGTTACTGCGTCTCGCATCTGTTGTCACTCGCGATGCGCAGCTCGACTTCGCCACGAAGAAGAGGCCCGCCGACTCGGCGGGCCTCGCCGCCACTCCCAGAAGTCCGCGTCTAGCAAGGTCTCGCACGAGAGTGCGATAATATTTAGGGTTCCTCCTCAGCACGGGGTCAATGTGCAGACGCGGCATGCTGTCGAAGTCAACTGTCTCCGGCTCCAACCTCATTCGCTCGTGGTTCTCCTCCAAAAACAAGCGGCACTCGGGGCTCGCGATGTCCTCGACGAAACGGCCGCCCAGCACATCATCGGGCAGCGAGACCTTGCCGGGCCGGTGGGAGACGAGGTTCCTCGGGGCCGAGTCCGTCTCGCACGCGGACTGCCCCCGGAGCAGCTCCTCGAGGGCTGCCTCCGCCTTCGGCATCACCTGAGGGGCTGCGGCCCGGCGCCGGTGAGCCTCGCGTAACAGGTGCTGCTGAAGCGCTGCATGCTTGTCCAGGGTGGCAGCGCCTGGACGCGGTGAAGCAGACGCGCCCTTGTAGCAAGCAAGCCAGTTAAGACTACGAAGGGCTCGGTTCACTAATTCAACCTCACTCTGTCGCCCGTGCGCCCCGCGCTGGGACCTGCGCCCCCGAACTAGGCCGCCTGGCGAAGCCGGCGGCGGCACGGGAAACAAGTCTCTCTCAAAATCGGACGGCGGCAGCGGCGAGGCGCGGGCCGGCGCGCGCGTCGACCGCCTCCGCCTTCTTCATGGGTTGCTCCACCCCCCAGTCCTCCTTGGCCCGCCGAGTGGCGTGGCTCCTGAGGGCGGGCGCGAGCAGCTCGTCGGCGTCGCCGAGCGGGGCCAGATACTTGGCGTCGGCGAAGGGCGGCGCCCCTCCACGCTTACACGCGCCCACGATGGCGTCGAGCCTGCGCGCGACCCCCTCGAGGCACGCGAGCCCTCCAAGATGCACCTGAGCCTCCGCAGCTCGTGGGCCACCCTGTCAGCGGGTGCGATGTTCTTGTCGCGCAAGAACTTATCGAGCCAGGCCAGCGGCGAGCCCGCCGTCCGATGCATCATCTTGCAGGGTCGAGCCTCCCTGCAGGCGCTGGTGACCCCAGTCGTAGCACGCCGACTCGTTCACCGCCTTCCTGAACTCCTTGTAGCGGTCGCCCTGATCATCCTACTCGACCCACAACGTGCGAGCGTCCTCGCCTCCAGCCTCCTCCAGCTTCGCGTTCGGCGGCGAGTCCTCGGCGCCAGCAGCACTCGGCGCGGGTCCCCCAGCGGGGGCGACCGAAGGCGGGCGGACCTCCAGGAGGCGGCTCAGCTCGGCGACGTGCCGAGCGGTCCAGTCGGCCACCTCGTGCCGTCAACTCCAGACGAGGGGCACGGCCACGGCGAAACCAGAGCGCGTCCACCCCCTCGCCCACCAAGGTCTCCTTCGTCCGCGTCGAGCCCGACTACCGGCTCCGCCAGGACCCACACCTGTCCCTCAGGCGGGGGAGTAGGCGCGCCAGCAGCACTCACCAGAGCCCCGCCCGCGCCGCCACCAGCAGCTGGAAGCGGCCACTTGCCGTGCAGTCGTGGGGCTGGGGGGCCCGCCGAGACCTGCGGGATGACCTTGGCCGCATCCACCAGGAGGCCCGAGGGGAGCTCGACCTGGGCTGGGGCGTCAGCAGCTGACTGGCCGCGCGCCGCCATCGTCTGCCTGCACTCCTCGGCCAAGGTCACCAGCTGTGCCAGCGAAGGACGGTCTCGGAAACCGTAGAGCCGGCGTCCGCCAGGTAGCGCGGCATCTCCGGCCAGGAGGCGCTCCTCCTCCCGACGGCCCGTCGTCTGGCGAAGCTCCCGAAAACAGTTCCTCCCACAAGTCGCCGTCCGGCGAGAGGACCCAGTAGACGCACTCGTCCACCGCCGAACCCCCTTCGACGCGCTTGGACGGCCAGACCACCAAGCGCTCGTGGTCCACGTGTTCGCCCAGGTAGCTCACCCGGGCCCGCGCCCCGGAGGGCAGGTCAGCGCACCACGCCTCCCCCCCGGGCAGCGGGGGCAGGGCTGCCAGGCGCCCGCGCCGGCGCAACATGACGTCCTGGGGCGGCGCGGCGGCCAAAGCAGCCGCAGCAGCGATCCGCCAACCACGCCCAGGCCGGAGCGAGCAGGCTCGCCAGCAAGTGCGGCAGCACGGCCTCGGCGAACGTCGAGCTGGGTAGCTCCGGGCACTCGCAAGGGCTGCAGGCCGCAGGCGGCGGCGGGGGCGGCGGGCCCGAGGCCGCGAGCCGCGAGGCAACCTCGGCCGCGGCCTCGAGCCGCCAGGCCGCCTCCGAGGCCGCGCTGCAGGACCCTGCGACCTCCTCCAGCCACGTCGGCGCCGCAGGCGCCGCGGGGGCCGGACCCAGCCGCAAGCCCAGGAGGCCAGCCAGAGCCGCCAGGGCCACGGCCAGCAGCGCCGCGGAGGCGCCGGCAGCAACCATGCGGCGCGCCGCCCGTCTATCAGCCGAAGACAGGCTATGGAGGGGGGAGAAGGACCAAGTGGGAGAAAGAACCTCCGATGTATAACTCCCTGGATCTCTAAGCAGGTGTGTTGTGTCTCCGACATCACCAAATTCAAAAAGCCCAATCTCAAACCGTTCAAGAAATATATCGCTGGTGCACTTTGAGTTTGCTCTGGTCTTCCTCCTCCTCCTCCTCCTCCTCCTCCTCCTCCTCCTCTTCATCCTCCCCCCTCCTCCTCCTCCTCCTCCGAACCGCGAGTCCAAACCGCAGGGGGATCACTGTGCGGCTGCCTGCTGCTGCACCGTGCTCCCAGGGAGGCAGCTTGAGAGGCGAGGTGCCCCCACGGGCAGCGACCACCTCCGATGCGAAAGCCAAGTTTGCCCGCCCCCCGCGGGTGCAGACTGGCACGAAGGCAACGGGTCCTGGACCCCGAGAGCCTTCCCCAGGACCAACTTTTCATCCGGCGCCTTTCTCTGACGGTCCCAGGGCCTGCGGAGGGCCCCGGGATCCGCGAACGCCAGGAATAACCTCCACGGCCTGTTTCCCTCAGAACCCGCCTGCTTCCCTGACAGCCGTCGACCTGACTTTTTCAGTCCGCGGCCCCAGGAATCCCGACCGTTTCCCTGGGGCCAGCTTTCCGTCCTCGATCCGTTTCTGATACGTAGTCGCTGGGCCCGGTGATGGCCCGAGACCCTGACTACAGATCCGCCGTACTTTGAACGATTTCTTAAGCAGGCGAACATTTCCGCCGTACTGTTCAGTCTCCTTTGATGCCGAATTTCGCCCTGATTTACCGTCGTTGTCTCTGTCCTTTGTGGGAATATCCGCATACTTTTTTTGAGACGGACATTTCCCATCTGATGATTCGCATCGTTGGGGGTGCATTCCTGACACAGAGATAGCAAAATCAACCAAAGGCAGATCTGGAGTCAGGGGAGGGCCGAAATCGAGAAAAGACAAATAAAGCGCCAGTTGACAAAAATCAATCAACGGACTTCTGGGGAGCACCCGATGGCGGCGCCCCGCCTCCGTCGCGCCGTCCGCCAGCACGCGTCCCACCGTGCCGGCCCACCTGGCAGGGCTCCCCGGAGAGCGGGGGGCCAGGGCTCTCCGGAGGGGGGGGGGGAGGGCTGTGCTCAGGCCTGCCCGCTGCGCTCCGCTTCCTGCTGCTGCTGCTGCTGGTGGTGCTGCTGCTGCTGCTGATCGGCCTCCTCCAAGTCCAGCGCCCAGTCTCCTCCACCTCCTCCTCCTCCTCCTCGCACGCTCTCCGCCCGCCCCTCCTCCTTTTTCCTCGTGGCCGAGTGGGTATTGAGAGAACTCGAAACTGCGTCCTCCTTTAATTACCTCCTGCCCCCCTCACGACTCGCCATCTTCTTCTCATCTTTCTCTTCCACCTCCATCCCTATTCCTTATGTGTGCCTAACCACCCGGCCACCAGACATGACGATAGGGCGAGCCGGGCGCTTCGCCTGAGACTCTCGGCCCACTAATGACCAGAAGCTCAACGTTCACACCACTTACACGCATGGAGGGGGTATCGGTTTTCAAGATGTTGCTCTGGCCATAGCGCCGCGCAAACTTCCTCTGATAAGTTTCTGACAATTACACGGATGAAGAGGGGGGTAGTTTTCGAAATGTGCCTCTCGCCTGAGCGCCGCGCACCTCCCCAAGAGGCCACCAAGAGCCCCCCCCCCCCCCCCAATAGCCTCCATGAAGCCACCAGAGGCCCCCAAGAAGCCTCACAAGTGCTCCCAGAAGCCCCCGAGAGCCCTCCGAAGAGACCCCAATAAGCATCCCTGCGGAGACTGACCCAAAACCAAGGCACGGTGGCGGGATGGGCCGAAGGCCATTCGATCCGCCGCCCCCTGCTTGCAGGGGTGCACGGCGTGCTGGACGATTCAGGTTTTGGTTTTGGTTCTTTTTCTAAAAGAACTCCCCAGTGGGCTTCGGCCCGTCCCGCCGGCCACCCGTAAATCTCATAAAACCCATCTGTCAATGCCCAAAAACGGCCGTTTCGCTCGGGACATCCTCAAAAAATCGCGAAGATGGCCCAAGATGGCCTCCAAGTCCGCCCGAGATGGTCCAAGACGGCCTCCAAAACGGCCCAAGAGAGTCCAAGACGGCCCAAGACGGCCCAAGAGGCCCCCCAGAGGCCTCCCAGACGGCCCAAGAGGCCTCCAAGAGGTCCTCCAGGAGAGTCCGAAGAGGCCAAAATCATTGATTTTTCCTTGGTTTTTGAAGGATTTTGGCATTTGCGCCTTTTCGGCTCTCCGACGGCTCAAGACGGCCCAAGAAGCCCCCAAGATCGCCCAAGAGGCCCCCAAGAGAGCCCCATGATGGCCCAAGTGGCCTCCAAGATGGCCCCTAGAGGGCCCCAAGAGGGCCCAAGAGGCCTCCAACACGCCCAAGATGGCCTCCCAGACGCCCAAGATGGCCTCCAAGACGGCCCTGGAGCATTCCAAGCGGGCCCCAAGTCGGCCCATAGAGGCCCCCCAAACGGCTTCCGACGGCTTCAGACGTGCCAGGAACCCACCAAGATGGCCGAAGTTGGCTCGAAGCTGGCCCGAGACGGCCCAAAAAGCCCCAAAGATCGCCCAAAGCTTGCCCAAGAGGCCTCCAAGACGGCCAAGATGACCTTCAAGATGCCCACGTGTTCCCCGAAGGCTTTCCAAACCGATTCGGGGAACACGTGGTCCGATAGCTTGGCAGGTCTGGCCTCAACGTTCGGCCACATAGGCGCTTCCAAAAAGGCAGGGGGCGGCGGTGATTCGCCGTAGGCGTCTTCGATAATTTAGAGTTCCTATCAGAAGCCTACCACATCCCGAGTGGCAACTGTGCACCTTTCAGAACAAAACAGCCCGAGACAGTTCTCATACGACAGACTGGCAATTCCCATCTAGAAACTACAGAATTCCCACTTGAAAATACAACATACAATGTGCAATATACACCGATCCCCAGCCGTACTACGCAAACCATCAAACTCTCATTTTACATTTAACAACTCAATTGTGAAATTTGCGCCCACTAAACACTTTTCCGTTTCACCTGACGATGAAGATTGTCATGTGTACTTATGGGCTTCTCACTGGAAGTTGGACATGTGTGTTGCCTGCCAGAATAAATGCTTACACTTAAGAGCTGCGTTGGACTCATGAGTCCTCTTAGTTAAAACGCTCCACGATCATAATCATGTTGTGCGGCTCAGGATGGCTGTTTGTAATTAGTACCAGTTTGTTGCTTGGCCGGTTGAGAGGCACGGGTCAATGGAATTGGTACTGGTCGTATGGGATTGGTCCACTGCGCGGGTCCCGCTCCCCCTCCCCCAACCCCACCGACGACGACGGCGGCGATGCTGCGTGTCTTTCCTAACGTCGACCCCCAAACGTCTGGACCCTTGCCCCGAGACCAAATTTTCATGCCGGGTCATTTTCTGACGGCCCCAAGGCCCGGCGAGGCCCCCGGAAGCCGAAAACGACCCAAAAACTCCCGTTGCGATTTTTCTCATGACGAGGAGTGGTGGGGGTCCCCCTCACCCTTCCCCAACCCCACCGAAGAAGACGACAGCGACGTTGTGTTTCTTTCGCGACGCTGGCTCCCAGACGACGTCGGGACCCCCGCCCCAGGACCACCTTTTCATGCCGTCGTTTTTTGATGGTCAGGCCCCCGGACGCCAAAAACTTCTAAAAACCTCCCGCTGTGTTTTTTTCGCAACGTCAACCCGCCCAGGGACAACCTTTTCACGACAGGTGGTTTTTTAACGGTCCCCTTTCCCGGAAGCCCAGCGGGCCTCTCCACGGCGCCGCGTTGCTCGAGCAGCTCCGTCAGCTCCTGCGCCTCGGGCAGGCCGGCTGCTCCCAGCAAGGGTGGATCTTTTTCACCGAGCTGTGCGCACACTGATGATGGCTGGCCTGACCTTGACTTCAGTGCTGCGTTGAAAGCCTTGGCCTGGGTTGAGTGTCCAAGCCACCTGCCTTTGGCTAGTCATCGAGGTTCGACGTACCTGCCATCAGCAGGGCAAAATCCGAGCAGTGGGGGTCCAGCTGGACAACTGCGAGGTGGTGGCCTTCTCGGGCCCGCTCTGGAGCCGCTGGGGCGCGCTGGCCCCGGGCTCCCGTGGGGCCCTGCCCTTCCGAAGCCCGTGTCGGGCGGCTTCGGAAACTTGGCCGTGGAGGGCGAGGTGGAGGTCAAGCCGCACGAATCCACGGTGCCTGAGCTGGACGCAGACGTGGTCGGAGCTGACAGCGAGGTGCTCGAGGAAAAAGGAAGGTGCGGCCAGCATGGGGGAGGGCGGGGGCCAAGCAGCACGCATAAATTCACATGGCGCCGTGACGGGCACCTCCTCCTCCTCCTCCTCCTCCTCCTCCTCCTCCTTCTCCTCCTCATACCCACCTTCTTCTTCTTCTTCTCCTCCTCCTCCTCCTCCTTATCTTCTTCCTCCTCCTCCTCCTCCTCTTCCTCCTCTTCCTCCTCCTCACCTTCCTCCTCCTCCTCCTCCTCCTCCTCCTCCTCCTCCTACTCCCCCCTCCTCTGCTCTCCCCTTCCTCCTCCTCCTCCTCCGCCTCCTCCTCCGCCTCCTCCTCCTCCTACTCCCCCCTCCTCTGCTCTCCCCTTCCTCCTCCTCCTCCTCCTCCTCTTCCTCGAGGCCGGGGATTGTGGAGTCGCTGTGGGTTTTAAACGAAAATTTACAATATGTCACGTTGTTCCTCATCATTATGCTGATGTTTCCTTTCTCGTTTTCTCTCTCTCTCTCTCTCTCTCAATCTCTCCCACTCCCATTCCCATTCCATTACCATTCCCAATACCATTACCATTACCATTCCCATTCCCATTCACATTACCGTTACCATTACCATTACCTTTACCTTTATCTTTACCTTTACCTTTACCATTACCATTACCATTGCCATTACACTTGCCAGTGCCATTACCATTGTCATTACAATTGCCATTATCATTGTCATTGCCATTACCAGTGCCGTTGCCATTGCCATGGTATTGCCATTGCCAGTCGCCGCCCCGTTACCATTACCGTTACCATTACCATTACCATTCCCATTACCATTCGCCACTACCATTACCATTGCCATTATCATGAGCATTACCAACACAATTGCCATTACCATTACCATTACCGCTGCCATCACCATTACAATCCCCATTCCCATCACCATTGCCATTACCATTACCGTTACCAGTAACATGTCCATTACCATTGCCATTATCTTTACCACTACCACTACCATTTCCATTCCCGTTCCAATTACCACTACGATTCCCATTCCCATTCCCATTCCCATTACCATTACCATGACCATGGCCATTACTGTTGCCATGGCCATTGCTATTGCCATTGCCATTGCCGTTGCCATTCCCATTCCCATTGCCATTGCCAGTCCCATTACCGTTGCCATTGCCATTGCCATCGGCAGTCGCTACCCCGTTACCATTGCCATAACCATTACCATTACCGCTATCGTCACCATTACCATTCCCAGTACCATTATCATTACCACTGTCATTGCCATTACCATTACGATTGCCATTGCCATTGCCATTCGCCACTACCATTACCATTGCCATTCGCCACTACCATTACCAGTACCATTGCCATTGCCATTGCTCTTCGCCGCTACCATTACCATGGCCAGTACCATTACCATTCCGATTCACATTCCCATTCCCAATACCATTACCATTGTCATTACCATTACAACTGCCATTGCCATTACCCTTACCATTACCATTACCTTTACCTCTACCTTTACATTTACCCTTACCCTTACCATTCCCATTTCCGTTGCCACTACCACTGCCATTTCCATGCCCGTTCCCATTCCCATCCCCATTCACATTCCCATCCCCGTTCCCATTCACATTACCATTGCCATTACCATTGCCATTGCCATGGCCATTACCATTGCCATTGCCATTCCCATTGCCATTGCCATTGCCATTGCCATTACCGTTGCCATTGTCATTGCCATTGCCAGTCGCCACCCCGTTACCACTATCAGTACCGTTACCATTACCAGTACAATTACCATTACCTCTGTCATTACCATTACCATTCGCATTGCCATTGCCATTGCCATTAGCCACTACCATTACCATTGCCAGTACCATGTCCATTGCCATTCCCATTCTCATGGCCATTACCATTACCATTACCATTACCATTATCACTACCATTTCCATTACCATTACCATTACCTTTACCTCTAGCTTTACCTTTACCCTTACCCTTACCATTCCCATTTCCGCTACCACTACCACTACCATTTCCATTCCCGTTCCCGTTCCTATTCCCATTCACGTTCCCATTCCCGTTCCCATTCCCATTACCATTGCCATTATCATTACACTTACCATTGCCGTTGCCATTGCCATGGCCATTATCATTGTCATTGCCATTGCCAATCCCATTGCCATTGTCGTTACCATTACCGTTGCCATTGTCATTGCCATTGCCAATCGCTACCCCCTTACCATTACAATTACAGTTACCATTACCATTACCATTACCAGTACTTACCTCTGTCATTACAAGTACCATTGCCATCACCATTGCCATTGCCATTGCCATTCGTCACTACCATTACCATTGCCAGTACCATTTCCACTCCCATTCCCATTAGCATTACCATTACCATGATACTACCGCTGTCATTACCATTAGAATTCCCATTTTCATTCCCATTCCCAATACTAGTACAATTTCCATTACCATTACCATTACCAATGCCATTACCATTACCACTACCACTATCATTTCCATTCCCGTTCCCGTTCCCATTCCCACTTCCATTCCCATTACCACTACCATTACCATTACCATTGCCAATCCAATTACCATTACCATTACCATTACCAATACCATTACCGTTACCATTACCATTACCATTACCATTACCTTTAACTCTACCTTTACCTCTACCCTTACCATTACCATTACCATTGCCATGGCCATTACCTTTGCCATTGCCATTGTCATTGCCATTCCCATTGCCACTGCCATTGCCATTACCATTGCCGTTGCCATTGCCATTGTCATTGCCTCGCTACACCGTTACCACTATCATTACCGTAACCATTACCAGTACCATTACCATTGTCATTACCATTACCATTACCCTTACCATTACCATTACCATTGCCATTGCGATTGCCATTGCCATTGCCATTCGAGGATTTCAGTAGGAATCATTCAGTGGAGGGTTTCAGTAGGAATCCACATGTGGAGGATTTCGGTAGGAATCATTCAGTGGAGGGTTTCGATAGGAACCCTTCCGTCGAGGATTTCACTGTGAATCCTTCTTATAGGGGGCGTCCAATAGGAATCCTTCTAGGGGGGAGGGCAGATGTGGCCACGTCGCATCCCTTTTTTTGTTTTTCTCCTGGCGCCCCCCCTTTTTTTTCCTAGGGAGAGGGGGGGGGGCGCCAGGAGGAACAGAAAAAAGGCAGCAGAGATGTAGCAGGAGGGGGAGAGGGAGGAGGAGGATGAGGAGGAGGAGGCGGAGGAGGAGGAGGAGGTCCAGGCGCCCAGGCAGAGAAGGAGGAGGAGAAGGCGTTTCCTTTGTATTCCCCCCCCCAACAACAAAAAAAACATAAAAATGTTGTGGGGTGGGGGCGCCAAGAACAAAAAAACAACTCCTGGAGAAGGAGGAAGAAGAGGAGGCGGAGTAGGAGGAGGAGGACGACGACACAGAGCAGAGTTTGCAGAGAAACAGTCGCGAACTCAGCGCGAAACCCTCGCGCGCGCGCTGTGGAACCCCTGTGACTCCACAATCCCCCGTTCCCTCTTCCTCCTCCTCCTCTTCCTCCTCCTCTATCCTCCTCCTCCTCTTCCTCCTGCGGCGTAGGCTGCGCAACGAGTTCATCCTCATCGCCTGAGCTGGGAACGGACAGCAGGGAGCACACCTTGGGACTCCTGCTCTGACAGCGGGCGTCGACTTACTGCGAAGTTCGCTGTACAAAATGCAAGCACAAGCTGTCTTCTGTGGGTGACAAAATTCCGAATCGCTCCAGAGGACGATGGTCGGGGGGTCCCACGGCAGAAACCAAAAGCTGGAAAAAAACAACGGGCAGGCCCACTAATGGGCGAACGAATTTTCTCCTCCTGCCTCGGGCGGGCATCCGCGGAGACATAGCGAACTTTTAGTCTGTTGAAACCTACACTGCGTCAGCCAGTTTTTCTCCTAGCGGTGGCAGATGAAATGGCGACAGGCATGGAGGCAAGGGTAGAGCGGGCCAGAGGCCAGTCAACGGTAAGGATGCGGGCCCTTTCGGAGGGAAGCAGCTCGCAGAGACGGGCGGAAAACAGATCCGCAAGAGACGCGGGATACATGACCTCTGAGATGCTGTGAACTAGAGACTTCTGAATTTTCGGGCTCGGGGCTCTCATTGGGCTCACTGAATATCGCTGGTGTTCCGCTTGGGCCTCGAGGAGAGCAGGAAGACATTGATCTCGCGCCCTCTCGGGCAGATGATGCCCCTTGAAGGCGTCAGACACGCGCTGGCACAGGGCGCGAGTCTTCCAAAAGTCTGGCGAGAGGTCGCCACGAAGTGCCGACGCGCATGGGCGGCGTCGTTCAGCAACATTGCGCAGAGTGACGAGAGACCCTCTCCACGAAAAGGTACTGATAGCGGCACGGGAGCGGGCAGCGAGACAAGTGGCGGGTCACGAAGAGATGCGAGGTCCTCCCCATTCCTTCCATTCGTACCAACCTCCCTGGCCCAATCCACAATACGGTAGGTGAGAGACCCTTGCAAGCATCACAGACTCGAGGCGTGGCAGGTCTGCGGGCGCCGGCAGGAACTGAGCCACGTAGCTCATGACTGAGGAGGCGCGGGACGAGCACAGGTTGGCGGAGATTTCGTTCGAGGCGCCAACCTCTGCGAGCTCGAAGGACCTATGCCGCCACTTACGAAACGGGCCTGCCCAGCACTGTTGCTCTGCTTCGGGACCGAGGTGCGATCCCAGATACCTGATGATGTTCGCGGTTTGGAAATCGGCCCAGGAAGGAACCATATATTTCAACTTAACTCTGTAAAGCGTCCTGAGAGCCTCCGTTCCAGGACCCGCAAGAGGGAGGATCTGGCATTTCGTCACATTCAAGAGCAGAGCGGCAAGCTTGGCGGCGAGACGGAAGATGCGAGAGAGCTGCTGCATGCACTGCAGCTTGATCAAGGCGGTGCCGATATCGTCGGCGCAGAGACGAACTATCCCTCGACGCTTGACTTTAATGGTGGAATCAAAATCTGCTGTAAAAGCCTCCACACATATCGCAAACGCATTCCCCGAGGCAGGGCGCCCCTGGATCATGCCAGCCAGAATAGGAAACTCAAAAAGCATTTCGCCACCGAACCCTGCGAAACATGAAACTCCGTGGCACAGAAATTTGATCTAGTCAAACAACGGCGCGGGCAGGGCGAGTGCGGCAAGAACGAGATGCAGCCAGCGGCGCGACACCGACGGGAACGCTTGGGCGAAGTCGAAAGCCGCCACTAGTGGCAAGTCCACTTCCGCAGAGGGACTCATAGAGTAACACCTTGCCATCGCATCTAGCTCGATGATGTTAGTCCCAAGTTGTCTGCCACTGATGAAACCTCGCCGTGGTCGGTTCGCTTTTCCGGCCCAGGCCCTGAGAAGAGTGAACACAATTGTGGCAGTGATGACCTTGTTATCAGTGGTTTTAAGCTCAACGGTCGAAGTTTATCACATTCTCGGTAGCAGCCTCCTCCACCCAGATCTCCATCCTCCTAGCCCTTCGGGACATAGACGCCCAAGAGATGGTTAAAGCCCCAGAGTGCCCATCCTCCATCAAGAAGACAGAACATCATCTCATGCAAAACAGCGGTAGCCTGCGGAGTCCGCTGCCAGGCCGCATAAGGGATGCAATCAAGACCAGGGGCACTGTGAGACTGACGCCGAAGCACAGAGCAAAGAAGCCTGTGAGGGGGCGGAAGGACATCGCTCAGGTCTAGATGCGATGCGAACTTCTGAATGCAAGTGCGGGCGGGGTCTAACGGGGCGTCCTTCTCCGCAAAAGCAGCGCCCCAGCGCTGACCGATGGCGCTGGCCATGTCCGAGGGGCCCGACAGTAGTTGGTCGCCGCGGCGGGTGCCGCGAACGTGCGCGCAGCGACCAAACGGCGCCCGAAACTCGGCCCTACTCTGGGGTCCGCGGAGACGTCGACGGAAACGCTTTCGTTCAGAACCTTCAGGTTTGGCCGAGAGATTGTTTTCCAGCGCGTTCATTCTCCACGCGGTCGGCCTCTTCCAAAAAGTTGTTCAGGTAACGGAAAGAGCGAGGTGCGAGCGATGGCGTCGCGCGTTGGGCGAAGCCCCTGGGGGGGTTCCAGGGGGGGCGTAGCGCGAGCGTTCCAATTCTAATGGCCGTTTTGGGGGGGCCCTTTGGGCTTGCATGTTTTTTTTCGGATTCTCCGTCAAGACGGCCCACGAGCGCTCCGAGAGAGCCCGGGGCCGCCCAAGACGGCCCGAGTGGCGCCCAGGGGGCGCCCCAAGAAGGCCCGAGAAGCCAAAATCGTAAAATTTCCAAGCAGGAAGACGCACATGTTTAGCACATGCGGCTTTTCGCCTTTCGCGGCGTTAACGACGGCCCAAGAGGCCCCCAAGACCGCCCCAAGGCGGCCCAAGAGGCTCCGAAGAGGCCCCGAAAAAAAAACTGCCCCAGAGGGCCCCCAGATGGCCCAAGAGGCGCCCAAGACGGCCCAAAAGGGCCCCAAAACAGCCCCAAGAGGGGGACCGCGAACCGAAAAGTCTAACCCATCGCCCCAAGACGCTCCCGGGCGGCCCCCACAGCCCCCCCAAGCAACCCCAAGAGGCCCCCAAGAGGCGTCCCACGAGGCCACCAGGAAGCCAAAATCCTCGATTTCCTCTGGGAAACGTACACTTTTAGCATGCACGGCCTTCCGGCTTTCGCGGCGTTGACGACGGTCCAAAAGGCCCCCAAGACCGCCCCAAGACGGCGCAAGAGGCACCCAAGAGGCCCCCAAAACGGCCCGAGAGGGCGCCAAGACGGCCTAAGATGCGCCCAAGACGGCCCAAGCGGGCTCCAAGACGGCTCCAAGAGGGGGGCCACGAAACCGAAAATCTAGCCTATCGCCCCGAGACGCTCCCAGGAGGCCCCCACAGCCCCCCAAGCAGCCCCAAGAGGCCCCCAAGGGGCGTCCCACGAGGCCACGAGGAAGCCACAACCATAGATTTCCGATGGGGAAACGTACATTTTTAGCATGCACGGCCTTCCGGATTTCGCGGCGTTGACGACGGTCCAAGAGGCCCCCAAGACCGCCCCAAGACGGCGCGAGAAGCGCCCAAGAGGCACCCAAAACTGCCCAAGAGGGCGCCAAGACGGCCTAAGATGCGCCCAGGACGGCCCAAGAGGGCCCCAAGACGGCTCCAAGAGGGGGGCTACGACGCCGGAAGTCTAGCCTTTCGCCCCAAGACGCGCCCCAGGAGGCCCCCGCAGACCCCCAAGAAGCCCCAGGGGGCCCCCAAGAGGCGCCCGAGATGCCGCCAGGAGGGCCCGAAAAGGGCCCCAATAAGACTCTCGCGGCGGCCCAGAGACGCCAAGAGCGATCGGCAATGCAACGAGCTCTTCACACCAAGGCCCCCAAGGGCGAACGGCGACGCAAGCGAGCTGATGAGACCAAGGCTCCCAGCCGAGAGCGGCGACGTAACGAGTTCCTGGCGCCAAGGCCCAGCCGAGGCTCAGGAACGGGTGGCGACGCAACAATCTCTGAACACCAAGGCCCCCAAGAGCGAGGGGTGACGTAACATGCTCTCAACGCCTAGGCCCCCCAGCGCGAACGGTGGTGCGAGTCATTGCGGCTTCTGTTTCTGTTTTTTTTCTTTTTGTTTTTCTCTCTTTTCTTTTGTTTTTTTTCTTCCCCCCCCCGTTTCCGCGCCGGGCCCAGGTCCGCCAAGGCCCCGGGATCGTTAAAGGTAAGAGTCGCCATCTCCACATTCCAGACGAGATGCTGTTGCGCGAGAGGATAGCTCCCATAAAGGCGACGCCCCAGAATCAAATCTTGCTTCCGGACAGCCCGAGCAAGCGAACGACAATGAATAAGCGCCCCCAGTGAAGTGTCCGAAGCAGCCCCCAGGGAAACGCCCCAAGCAAACCTCGCACTCTCTTTCATCGGCATCTTCAGCCAGGCTGGGCGAGCAGGCGGCGGGTAAATCTCGAGGTCCGTCTCGTCGAGATAGGCTCGAACGAACCTTAGATACTCCGGGGCGTCAAACAGGTCTCGATTGATGGGCCTTTCCTTCTCGTGCTTCGGGGGGGGGGGGCGGGGGGCGGATGAAAGCCGATGGCAATGGCAGCGTGGTCCGAAGGCTTGCGATGTTTCGTCGCCTCTACGAGACCATGAGCGACGCCGCAAATATTGAACTGCCGAACCGCCCACCTTGGTAGAGAAGTGAAGAGCCTATCTAGGGTGCTCATCGTGTCACTCGGCGCTTAGATGCGGGTAGGATCTGGCATCTGGACCTCGAGCGAACGTCCACAGAGACCTCTCCAAATGGCATCCTGAGAGGCCCTCCAGGTCTGATAACCTCGCCCCGGCGACATTTGGCGGGCGGGGTCAACGGGGGCAGGAGGGGAGGGAGAGATCGTTGAAGTCACCAACGAGGATCACAATCTCGTCGAGGGGGTCTTGTTCAGCCTCGCGGAGCCTGCCCAAGATATGCCGAGATATACGTAGTTTGTCTCCCCGCAAGAGCACGTAATTGTGGGCGTTGTAGTGCGCGGCCCAAGACTTCCCAGACTCAATCTGAATGTCCGTAAAGAGAGCCCGTCCAGGAACCAGATCCTCACTCAATGTCCACCGAAATCTCAGAGCACCGTGGAATAGGAACTAGAGTGACCACCCCACCCGCGGCGCGCGGCAGGAAGCCGGCGAGACACTGGTACGGCTTGTGCAGGACATGAATCATGCCCCTACATCCCCAGGACGAAAGTGTTTTCCTCTTGGGCCTGGAACGACGGTGTGAAGTCTTGAGCGGACCCGTGCGAGGTATGCGCCGTCGGATCCCATGAAACTCGCGCGAATCCAAATGTGGCTTTGGCGTTTGTTTTGGTGGATCCGATTTCCGTCCGTGCAGATCCGATTTCGGATTAGCTGGATCCGTGTCTGGTGTTGTTTTTTGCGGCGGATCCGACGTCTACCCTGTTAAATTTCTTAATTATTAAATTTAAACAGGGAACCAGAAGAAATCGGATCCGCGGACCCCGCGAACCACCCGTGTTAAGATTCTACGGGGGATGGGGGTTCGGTTATCAACCTTCCACCACGGGCCTTGCGTCGTCTCGCGCAGTCCCATCAACTCCCCGCGCGAGCGGGCCCCATTCAACGTGAATACATACATGCTTCCCCCCTCCGGTCGCTGCAAAGAGCTCGTCCGGTCGCCGTCCGTTCGGCGGCGCCGACGTTGTCTCGCGAACTCCTCATGGCCGTTTTCGCCTCAAGAGGAAAATCTTTCGTCCTGCGTCAGTAGCCTCCTCCTCCGAGCCGTGGGACTCCTGAGTCGCGACGATGGTCGACGGGGACGTCAACGAGGAGAGGTAGGCGAACTTCCTGGAGCGCAGGGCGGAATTGTGGTGAAAAAGAGAGTTAGCGTTCCAACTGGCGAAGCGAAGCGAGGTCGAGGAGGGGCCAGAACCAAGCCACGGCCTCATGAAGCCGTTAAAGGGACCATTGATCTTCATCTCCAGCAGGCGGGGTGAAAGCAGCAGAGATGCGTGCCTCGAGCACGCGCATGTCCAGGCCGAGGGACAGCAAGCTCGGGATGTTCCACTCCACAGTCGGCAGGGAGCCAGCAGGCGCAGGAGAGTACCGAATGAGCTTCTTCCAGGCGAGGGAGACCTCGCCGCGATCCTTGTCCACGTAGAAACGCTTGTCGGGGTAGGCGGTTTCGAATTTACGGCGGATGATCTTCGTGCCGAGAACACGGCGAATGGTGCAGTGGCTCTTGTCCACAGATACGTAGAGGTCGGTCCGCCCACCAGTCGGCAACTAAGCGGTACATTTCTTCCATGAGCCGTCGCGGGAACGAAGAGAGCCAATGGCTTGACGTACAGCACGCGAGGCGTTATGAGCCTCACCAGTGAACTGAATGGTAAAACGTTTTGACGCAGGGCCTTCGCTGGCTTCGTTGAGTTGGTAGTCGTCCACGCCCAGGTTGGCTTCCATGAACCACGGGGTGATGGCTTTACGTGCAGCAGTGTGAGTGACAAGGTCCTTGGATCGGACCACAAAAATGGTAGGGTCTGCAGGCCTGTCGAAGGAGTTCGGGGTGGGGACCTTAACTGGCGGGGGCTCGTTTTGAACGACGTGGAGCTCCTTCTGCAGGAAGGCGATTTGTTTTTCGAGCTTCGAATTCCTGCCATCCTGGGAGCCAAACTGTGTCTCAACCTTGTGCATACGGGTCTCGACTTGGCGATCCACTCCCTGGGCGTGATCGCAAAGGTACGAGAGAGGGAGGCAACACTGGATTGAATCGAAGCGATGGCGGCCATGACCTCACTGCGAGTTGAGTCGACGTAGGAGCGGAGGTCGTCGTGCTGGGGACCGCCGGCGGTACCTCCACTGCCGCCGCCACTGCCCACAGGAGAAAGATGTTCTGCAAGATCCGGAAAATCTTCCTCAGGTGCGGGATCACGAGTGCGAGACCGAGGGCGCTCATGAGCAGGAGGGGGGCGAGCACCTGTGTTTCCTTTACCTCGGGCATTACTTGCCATGCTGCGCTAGCACACACGGTGACTGCAACCACGAATCCACAGATTTCAGCACGCAAGGGCACTAGAGGCGAGAAGCGAGAAATTGAGATAACTGTCGCCAGCGCACGACACGCTGAATTGCTCGAAAGAGAGCTGCCCGCTCAAAATGGGACCTGATCCCACTTGAGCCAAAATGGCAACGGACTCCTCCTCCTCCTCCTCCTCCTCCTCCTCCTCCTCCTCCTCCTCCTCCTCCTCCTCCTCCTGCGCACTCCCCTGAAAGACGATGTGTCCGTGAACCTCCTCCTCCTCCTCCGCCTCCTCCTCCTCCTCCTCCTCCTCCCCCTCCTCTCCCTCTTTTTCACGACCTTGCCCAGTTGAAGGTATGGAGGGCGGTACGATTTCAAAGTAGGGCTCTCGCCATACCGCCCACCTTCGTCTCCTTTACACATTGTAGCCGTATCGCAGATGGAGTGCGTCTCTTCTTCAGAATGGGGCTCGCGCTGGAGACCTCGTCAACATCAGCATCCACACTCTCGAACATATGGATGGATGGCGGCTCCTTTTCAAATTTAGGGTCTCGCTTGAGACTTCCTCACATCGGGCGACTTCAAGTGCACAATCTGTGCAACACTTACACGACTTGGGGGGGCGGCTTCTTTTCAAAACAAGGTTCTCGCTGGACATCTTGCTGAATGGTATAACCCTGTCTTCTCGCAATCCTGATGACTCGCTGGAAGCATACAGGGCAGCACCTTTTCAAAGTGAGCCTCTCGCCTGACTAGCACGCCCGAATCGGCGTTCGTCTTTCAAGGAGCGCTCCTTGTAGTGCGAGCCAGGGCCTGTAAGGAATTCTGGGGAGGGGACTTGGGACGGGCGGGTGTGTTGAAGCATTGTTGATGCATCCTGTGCTGACTCTGGTCCTCGATCCTACTCCTCTCCCCCGTAGACTCACCATCATCCTCATTAATGTTGCTCATCCCCTCATCCTCCGTCCTCCCCCGTCCTCATCCCCCTCCTTCCCATTCCTCCCCGCCCTCTGTTCTACTTCTCCCTCTCCCAATCTTCCTATATCCTCCTCCTCCTCCTCCTCCTCCTCCTCCTCCTCCTGCTCCACATCCCCCATTCCCCTCCACCTCCCCCTGCTCGTCCATATTTGTGAGAGGGTACCGAGGAGTACGAGGATGGAAAAGAGGAGGCGTAGCAAGGGAAAGGAGGGAGGGAGAAAACGTTACTCCGCATCCCAGTCCGTCATAATCACCTCCTCTGTCCCCCCCCCCCGCTCTCCTTCCCTCCCCTCCCCCCGATGTCACCAGCCCGCTCCTCATCCCTTTGTTTTCCTCCTCCTCCTCCTCCCGATTCCTGATTCCTGCCGACTTTATGGTCGTAAAGACGAAGCCTTCCCCCCTAGGGCCGGTCGGCCCTGGGGGGGTGGTCAAACTCCCCCTCCTCCTCCTCCTCCTACTCCTCCTCCTCCTCCTCCTCCTCCCCTCCTCCTCCTCCTCCTCCTCCTCCTCCTCCTCCTCCTCCTCCTCCTCCTCCTCCTCCCCTCCTCCTCCTCCTCCTCCTCCTCCTCCTCTCTCCTCCTCCAACTCCTCCTTCTCCTCCTTCTCCTCCTCCTCCTCCTCCTCTCCCTTCTCCTCCCCCTCCTCCTCCTCTCCTCCTCCTCCTCCTCCTCCTCCTCCTCCTCCTCCTCCTCCTCCTCCTCCTCCTCCTCCTCCTCCTCCTCCACCTCCTCCTCCTCCTCCTCCTCCTCCTCCTCCTCCTCCTCCTCCTCCTCCTCCTCCTCCTCCTCCTCCTCCTCTTCGCGTGCGGTCGCCTGCAGCGGCTCTTTGCCCTTGCAGAGGCCCGCGCGTCGCGCCACCCGCAAGGAGGAGAAGGGCAGAGCGGGGCATCGCGGGGCTCTTCTTGATGTAAGAAGAGAACGGTGAAACTATCAAACTGGCTCAGGATACGTCCCAGGATTTACAAATTATCTGGCGGCCCTCGCCCTGGAGTCAATGCGATCGTTGGGAATCTAAGACATCTTGGAACGTATCATTATCACTACCTCTTGTTCCTCCAATACTCGAAAAACTCCTCATTTCATCCTCTACTATTTTTTGTTAACGAAAAAGTTCACACGCATACGACAACTGTCGGAGGTCCGCGCGGATTCTCCAGGTCGGCGCTGGAACCACCCCCCCTGGCGCGCGGAGCGCGCCAGGGGCGGTGCCAGAGGCGCCGCCATGGGAGGGAGCCTCGGCGCTGACCTAGGAAATCTCGGGGGGCCTCAAATAGTTTATGCTTATGCCCTCTTGTTTTGCTCGATCCTCCTCCTCGACTCGACCCTCCTCGAGGGTCTTCCCCCCTCTTCGAAAACCCGCATCTTCGATATTTGGAGCTCCTCTTTGTCCTCCTTGACCCTCCTCCTCCTCCTCCTCCTCCTCCTCCTCCTCCTCCTCCTCCTCCTCCTCTTCGAACATACTTGTTGCTGCAATCTCGCTCGATCCTCCTCCCCCGCCTGTTGAGACAGCGGCGGCTCGCCCGCCCGGCCCGGCTCCGCTCCAGGTCTGCCCCGGGCCCCTCCCGGGGCCCACCCGGACCCGCCCGTCGAGGCGGAGCCCGCCGTGGCGACGAGGAGCCTTTGGTAGCGTGGTCGACGAAGCCCACGCATAACCTTCCAGCGCACCACCGGGAGGCCTTCGGCGGAACGGGCCGAGGCACGGAGGAGGAGGAACGAGGAGGAGGAGGAGGAGGAGGAGGAACGAGGAGGAGGAGGAGGAGGAGGAGGAGGAGGAGGAGGAGCCTGACCTACCCTGAAGCCGTGGCGACGAGGAGCCTTTGGCAGACGAGCGCGCTCCGCTACTCGCAGAGTAGCTACCCGCAGATGGCCTGGATCCGCCGTGGGGGATCTGCGAGAAGTCTCGTCGGAGCGAACACATGTTTTTCGGACGTTTGCGCGTAGGCAATCTGCGAGTAGTAGAGCGCGTTTGTTGACTTGGGAGGCCCAGCTTGGACGAAAATTTGCCAGGGAGGGCCGCCATCGCTTCCACTTGCCCTTCACCTGTCCCCTGCCCCCGGCAGTCGCCGAGGCAAGAAAATGACCCTGAGATCTGACGTCACGGAGACACTGCAGCATCGCAAGCAAAACCTCGACCAAAATCCCAGAGCCCAACTTTCCGCTGTATTTTCGCGCCTGGTCGATCCGTGAGGGTGCCAGGGCCCGAAACCGAGCGAAGATACCCATCGAGAAAAAATCGCAACGCCCAGATCGCACGGACGACGACGACGACGACGACGACAACGACGACGGCCGTCCTCCGGCAGCGAGATGTGGAAGACGGGCGCTCCGTGGGAGATGCCGAGGCCAGGCAGCTCCCTGGGAGGAGGCACGAGGGAGGGGCCTGGCGAGGAGGGACCCGCCCTTCTTCCCCCCTTCTCCACCTCGAGAGCGGTGTAAATAGTTCGCACGCTCATGGGAGATGGGGTCGAACTCACTGGCAACATTGCATTCGGAAGCAGGGCCAAGCCCGAGACCTATGATTAGATGGCTAGGGATGATAGCACTGAGAAGAGCGAAAAGGTGGGCGAGGCGGGGGCAAGAGAGATAATGGCCTATATAATCTGAGGCATGCACCTCGCAGCCCAAGCTTTCGTGAGTGCAGCCGAATCGACAGCCCTTGAGCGTGATAATCCCCACCCGAGCAGACGTGATTCCGGCCCCTGCGAGCGCTTTCAGGTGGGTGCAGGCTCGTGATGGTGCCGCCTTCTGGAGCACATCACGAAACCTAGCCCAACGCTCGTCGAGTTCTGGCAACCCTATGGGCGCTCGGTCGGGAAACCACTTGCGAAATCGCCGCCCCGGGAGATTAAGGGTGAGGCCGAGGAAGAGGGAGGAGCAAAGGGAGCGGAGGGAGACCGCCTGGGGCCGCGGCCAAGTCTGCCTGGAGCGACGGTGATCACGCTGATTATCTAAAGCGGCTTGATGTGGTGACGTTAACCTGGCTGGCTTGGGGTTCCCACTGCCCACAGCTTGCGTCGAAGTCTGTATTGCAGTAGCAATGTGAGCTCGACGGGAAGTCTGTGTACCCGAACCAGAGTCTCTGTATGCGAGTGCGACTGCCTTGGCCCGCTCGAGCGCCTACTTCGGAACCTTACCTCAGGTGGGTAGGCCATCGAGGGAGGCATAAAATTCAGTAATGTTTTGACGCCGGTCCAGAACCTGGGCGACCACTTCTTTCAGAGGAAGTCGGTGAAAAATCCGTGGGCGTGGGCCGCCTCTTGAAGCCGATCCCGACAAGCCATCCACGCCTCGAGCGCGTTATGACTGGCTCCCCACGCGGCAGCAAGGCACGAGAAACTGACAGGGACAGGAGCAGCGCTCGGCATCTATTGCCCAATGCCCATCAATTCGGCAGCTCGGAACGAGTCAGGTGGCATCCTCAGCAACTTGTGAAGGGCCAGCCCCCCTTCAACGAGACTTTGGGGTCAGGAGGGCAAAAACTGGACGCCTCATCCCAGAAGACCAGTGGTGTAAATGGCAGTGAGGTTCCCGTCCAAGTCCGCGTCTACGAAGAACCAGAAGAAGACAAAGTACGGCAGCCCGGAGTTGCCGAACTGGTCAAAGGGGCGAATGAGACGAAGAACGCAAGTGAGCAACGGTCGTGGCGTCGCCGACGTGCTGGCTGCCCACAGTCGGGACAAGAATATGCATCGGCGACATCGAATTGGTGATACGTAGTTTGCTGCCCACGAGCGCTCAGATGGTCACCTTCATCGATAGAACTCCTCCGCGATGTGAGCTGCGGAAACCACTTGAGGCTCGGGTCTGCGCAAGGACGAACGCAATGTTGAAATAGGTGTCAGCCGTGGTACTGATATTGCCCTTGACTGGTACCAAGGTTGGTGTGATAAGTACATTAAGATTCAGTGTTCCACCCGAGTGGTGCGACGTGCTTGCACGGAGGACAGCGAGCACAATCGCACACTTTACGAGGCACGGCGCTAGCCCAGGGAGGAGCCTCGCAGTCATGCCCGACGCGAAGCTGCGGCCAATGCCTGTGGGGTGCGATGGGTCGGGGGACGTCGTGGCGCTCCCATGGGCGAGTCGCTCCACACCGCGTTGTAGCCTGCAGCTGTTGATGCCCTGCGCAGCTACACTCTCACACGTCTCACGCGGTCTGGCGTTTGCCTCATCGTAGCCTGTGAGCGTCCAGGGCGAATTGACAGACGGTTTGCAAAACAGCCATCAATCACAAGCTGTTAGGGGGACGGAGGGTGCTAGCGTCGCAAAGATTGGGGAGAATGCAAATGTGCGTCCACATCGCACTATGTGCAGCTCTGTGGATCGCGAGCTGGGATTGTTCCCGAATTGCCCCCAGCTCAGCTACCAACTAGAATTGCGTGTGGTAGGGGGTGGTAGGGGTGAACGAGAGAGGACATTGCGGCAATTGTGAAGGTAGCGGCGGGGCTTTTCCCTTAACAGTACCGTATATAGTACCCCGGCCCGCTGTGAGTGGGGAGGAAGAGGAGGAGGAGGAGGAGGAGGAGGAGGAGGAGGAGGAGGAGGAGGAGAAGGAGGCGGAGGAGGAAGAGGAGGACGAGAAGGACGAGGAGGAGGTGGAGGAGAAGAAAGAGGAGGAGGAGGAGGGGGAGGAGGAGGAGGAGGAGGAGGAGGAGGAGGGCCAGTGTAAACCTAACACCCACCAGTGAGGTTGAAAGACACCCTCCCTCTTCATAAGCCCTTACAACGGGCCATCTCCACTGGGGGTTTTGCCCGTCGGGGGACAACCGCATGAACGTCTTGAAGCGCGCCAAAACACCATCCTCACTCAGGATTTTAACGCCACGAGTGAACCTGACTGTTACGTCTTGGCGATCCTGAATCGTGCCAGAGTGTCTTTTCATGGGACTTCCACACCGCGAATCAACGTAACTGTTGCGCCCTGACAATCCTAAACCGCTCCAAAACACCATTTCGGGTGCGTTAGCCATGAGAGCAAATTGAACTCGTGCAATTGTTTATGAACGTGCGTGGCGCTAAAGCGAGAACCACATGTTGAAAGGAACCGCTTTCCAATCCGTGAAACCCGTGCAAAGGTTTGAAACGAATGTGCCCAGCGCTAAGGCGAGAACCACATGATGAAAACCACCCGCCCTCACCCAACACATTCTTGCACATGTTGAATGCGAATGTGCGCGGCGCTGAGGCGAGAATCACATGTTGGAAACGAGCCGCTCTCAATCCGTGAAGCCTTTGCATTTTTTACAAACGAATGTGCGCTGCGCCCAGACGAGAACCAGAGTTTGAAAACCACTCGCCATCAATCCGTGAAGGCAATGCACTCTTTTACAAACGAATGTGCGCGGCGCTCAGGCGGCAACCACATTTTGAAAACCACATGCCCTCAATGTGTGAAGCTTTTGCAACTTCTTACAAACGGATGTGCGCGGCGCTACGGCGAAAACCACATTTTGAAAACGGCCCGCTCCCAACCAGCAAAATTCTTGCAAGTGCTTAGAGTTAGTGCGCGCGGCACTAAGGCGAGAAGCGCATTTTGAAAACGGACCGCCCTCAATCAACAGAGCTCTCGCAATTGTTTAAGACGAGTGCGCGCGGCGCTGAGGCGAGAATCACATGTTCAAGACCAACTGCCATTCATCTGTGAAGCGGTTGCCATGTCTTGACATCACGGTCATAAATGGCGGGGAAGTCTCAGGCGAAACGCCCGGCCCGCTCTTTCGACCGGCTTCGGGGTGCGACAAGGGGGAGCTATATGTAAGGAATGGAGGAAGAGGAGGGGGAGGAGGAGGAGGAGGAGGAGGAGAAGGAGGAGGAGGGGGAGGGAGGAGGAGGAGGGAGGAGAAGGAGGAGGAGGAGGACGAGAAGGAGGAGGAGGAGGAGGAGGAGGACGCGGAGGAGGAGAACCAGTGTAATCCCAAGAGTCACCAACGATGTTGGAATAAGCCTTCCCCCCAAGCTCCCTCTACATAGGCCCCTACAACGGTTCGTTTCCACAGAAAGACCTGCCTCGTTGGAAGACAACCGCTTGAAGACCCTGAAGCATGCCAAAGCATTGTTCTCGGAATTCCAACGCCACGGATAAGATAAACCTGAGTGTTGCGTCTTGACGGTCCTGAATCGTACCAGAACGCCATTCCTGGAACTTCAACACCGCGAATCATCAAAACTGTTGCGCCCCTAGTGTCGTGAACCCTTCCAAAACGCAATTTCTGGTACGTCGACCATGGGAATCCTTGAAACTCTAACAACTGTATACATAATGCGCCCGGCATTGAAACGAGAAACACATTTTGAAAAGGACCCGCCCTCAATCCGCGAAACTCTGAAGCTCTTGAAATTTCTGAAAACGAATGTGCGCGGCGCTGAAGGTGAGAGCCACATATTGAAAACAACCCGCCGTCAATCTGCGAAACTCATGCAAACGTTTAAACATAATGTGCGCGGCGCTAGGGCGAAAACAACATTGTGAAAACGACCCACCCTCAATCCGTGAAGCTCTTGCAACTATCTTAACGAATGTGCGCGGCGTTAAGGCGAGAACCACATGTTGAAAACCACACGCCCTCAATCCGTGAAGCTCGTGCAATTTTTGTTGCAAGACTGTGCGCGGCGCTCAAGCGAGAACTGAATGTTGAAAACGACCCGCCGTTAATCCGTGAAGCTCTTGCAAATTTGTTTTACAATAAATGTGCGCGGCGCTACGGCGAGAGCCACATGTTGAAAACCACCCGCCCTCCATCTGTGAAACGGACGCCAATGTTTAAGCTTCAGGGCCATAGCTGGTGAGGAAGTCTCAGGCGAAACGCCCAGCCCGCCCTAAAAACTTGCCTCGGGGTGCGACAGGGAGGACAGAAGGAACGGAGGAGGATCGATGCTCCGATCGAGGAGGACCGAACATCGAGGTGATTTGAAGGCCTTCCCTCGCCCGCCCTGGCAGGGGCTGCCTGGTGCCTCGCGTCGCGGCGCGGCCGCCCGCGCCGCGCCCCATCTCGAAAACGGTGAGGCGCAGGCCGCCGCCCAGCGCGCGGCGCAGGGCCCAGGCGCAAGAGGCCCCTGGGGCCGCGGGAAGGCCGCCCCGAGCACGCCTCGATCTTCGATCTTCGATCCTCCCCCCCTCATCCTTGTCCTCCTTGTCCTCGTTGTCCTCCGTCTCCGCCTGCTCCTCCTCCTCCTCCTTCTCTTCCTCCTCCTCCTCCTCCTCCTGTTGCTCCTCGTCGTCGTCGTCCTCCTCCTTCTCCTCCTCATCCCCGTCCTTCTCCTGCTACCTCCTTCTCCTCCTCAATGTTCTTCCTCCTCGAATGTGCAGTCCGGAGCCAGGTTGGCAGACGCAGCGTAACACCAAATACCAACATCACTATCATCATCGTCATAGCCACCATGAACATCATCATTCCCGTCGTCACCAGCACCACCACCACCATTATCCGCACCACCATCATCATGATAACCATAAGCTTCGCTACCAACACAAACGCCATCACCATCCTCATCATCATCATCATCATCATCATCATCATCATCATCATCATCATCATCATCATCATCATCGTCATCATCATCATCATCACATTAGAGAAATGATCAGCATCATCATCATCATCATCATCGCCATCAGCATCACCACAAGCGCCACCATCAGCATCATCATGAGTAGCATCATCCGTACTACCATCACCATCGCATCACCACCACCATCACGATCACAGTGACCAGCGTCACCATCACCATCACCACACAAATCATCATCATCATCATCATCATCATCACCACCATCATCATCATCATCAACACCAGCCCCAGCGCCATTACCATGACAATCATCATCACCACCACCAGCATCACCAGCATTACGATTTCACCATCACCATCACCACCATCATTATTATCATGACCATCGCGACCATCATCAGCACCATCATCGCCTTCATCGCCACCACCATGACAAGCATCGCCACCATCAGCATCAGCATCAGCATCATCATCATCATCGTCATCGCCGTCGTCGTCATCATCATAATCAGAATCATCTCTGTAGTCACCTTACCTCGTCCGTCCTCGGGCCGTACTGCCTGGCTGGAGTCGCTCTCCAATCACCAGTGGCCGTCACACGCGCGCGGCGGGGTGCACATACAACAGGGTGTGTCGGACCATCGGGCAACCGTTGCGGCTGCACCGCGCGGTCGCGGCTCCCCATCAGAGGCCCACAACGTGCTGGTTGTACGCAAGCGAAAACCATCGTTATCCAAATTCAACACTGGCCTCGCTGCAATGGCGGAAGTGGGGTTCCCGCTGCTGTCTTTGTCTATTCTCGTCTCTTCCCTTCACGAAGTGCGCTCTCATCGCGCGTCACGATCGTTGGTGGAGAACCACATGTGCTGGCTGGGCTGCAGGTGCCCCTTTTGCGATGGCGGCGCCGGCGACAGGCGCTCAATGGGCTCGGCCTCTCCACCCGGAGTCACTGTGCCAGCAGCGTGTTGTGATCTACCCCGTCTTTTCCTGGTGCGCAGTCTCGTGCTCTCACGTTGGCTACCTACACGTTGTGCCATACTGTTGTGGTTCGTCGGGGTGTACACCATCGGTGGGCATTCCATCAAGGAGCGCTTCATCGTGGAGTGCTCCCTTGAATGCTTTATGGTGGATTTTTCATCATGGCGTGCCTCATCGCGGCATGCTTCACCGTGTAATGTTTCGTTGGGGGATGCTTTGCTGTTGTGCATGTACCGGGGCGTGCTACATCGTGGCGTGTTTCACGGAGGCGCGCTGCCTCAGGAAGCCGGTTGCGTGCTTCATCGTGGAGTGGTACGTCGAGCTGGGCTCCCTCGAGGGCTTCATTGTGGAAGGCGCCAACGTGGTTTTCACCGGGGTGGAATGCTTCATCATGGGGGCGTACTTCATCGAAAGGGGTTTCCTGGAGGGCTTCATTGTGGCGAACTTCCTCTGAAAGGTGTGCTTCAAAAGGGCGTGCTTCATCGTGGCGTGCTTCACGGTGGCGTGCTTCACGGAGCCGTGCCGCCAAGCGGCGTGGTTCAACGAGTGCATGAGTGCATGCTTCATCGTCGCGGGCGACATCGGCGAGTGCTTCATCGAGGGATTCCTCGTCGTGGCGTGCTTCATGGTGGAGGGATACGTCGTGGAGGGCTTCTTCGGGGGTGTTTCATTATGGCGTGCTGCAACGGAAGCGTGCTTCAAGGAAGCGTACTTCATGGTGGCGTACCTCATCGGAGGCGTGCTTCCGGGCGGCGTGCTTCGTGGAGGCGTGTTTTCGGGAGTGCTTCACCAAGGAGTGCTTCATCGAGGAGCATTTCACCAAAAAGTGCCTCACCAAGGAATTCTTCGGCGTGGACTGTGCCATCGTGGAGTGCTTCATCAAGGGGTGCTCCGTGGAGTGCCTCATCGTGGAGTGCTACACCGTGGAGTGCTTCACCATCGTGGATGGCTTCATCGTGGAGCTCTTTATCGGGGTGCTTCATCTCGAAGTGCTTCATCCCGACGGTGCTTCATCAGGCGTGCTTCATCTTGGCGTGGATCATCGTGGCGTGCTTCGCTGAGGCGTGCTTCACGGAAGCGTGCCCCATCAGCTCCCTCCTTTTCTGGGTGATGACGTTTGGTGGGTCATCATCTCTGTAGTCCCCTTGCCTCGTCCGTCCTCGGGCCCGTATTGCCTGGCTGTAGTCGCCCTCCAATCACCAATGGCCGTCACACCAGCGCAGCGGGGTGCAGACACAACAAGGTATGCCGGTCCATCGGGCAACCGTTGCGGCTGCACCGCGCGGTCGAGGCTACCAGCCAGAGCCCAACAGCGTGGTGGTTCGTCATCTCCTGCATTCCTACGATTCGCAACCGAACATCCTCATCCTCATCCTCATCCTCATCCTCATCCTCATCCTCAACCTCCTCCTCATCATCGTCGCCGTCGTGAGCATCACCACCACCACAACCACCACCATCATCATCATCATCATCGTCATCATCATCAGCATCATCATCGTCATCATCATCTCCATCCTCATCAATCACATCAGCCTCATAAACCTCTTATTCTTCTTCTTCATCATCATCCTCGTCTTCATCATCCGCATCTCAATCCTCCTCCTCATCGACATCATCATCATCATCATCATCATCATCATCATCATCATCATCGTCATCGTCATCATCATCGTAGTCGTCGTCGTCATCATGAGCATCACCACCATCATCAGCAGCATCACAATTATCAACATCATCCTCATCAATCCTCATACATCACCACCAACATCATCATGATCATAATCATCCTCATCAGCATCATCACCATCATCATCACCAGCATCATCATCATCAGCATCATCCTCATCCTCATCCTCGTCCTCATCTCGTCGTCGTCGCCGTCATCCTTCCTCATCTTAATCCTCCTCCTCCTCATCATCACCACCACAGTCATCATCATAACCACCACCACCAGCATCATGCTCATCCTGATCATGAGCATGGTTGTATTGATGATGCTGATGATCATCATCATCAGCATCATCATCAGCATCATCATCATCGTCATCATCATCATGAACATCATCATCAGCAGCATTTTCATCATCACCATCATCACCATCATCACCATCACCATCATCATCATCATCATCATCATCATCATCATCATCATCATCATCATCATCATCATCATCGTCGTCGTCGTCGTCGTGGTCGTCGTCGTGTGGGACCCCCACTTCCTCTCGTCTTGGAAAAAACGGCAGGAGGTTTTTTGCAATTTTCGGCCTCCCCTGATTCCGGATCCGCCGTACATTTCTGGCAGAGGTTCCAATCAGAAAATCAAACAGAGTACGGCGGATCCGAAGTCAGGGCCCTCCTCGATCGTGGAAGCGTGGGGCCCCCACCTCTTCTCGTCGTGGACATATCAGGCCGTTTTCGGCCGCCGGGGGCGTTCACTGGGCCTCGCCCTGACCCCGTTTGCGAGTAGGGCAGAAAATCCCAATCCGCCTTACTCTTCTGAGGCGGACAGGTGGGTCCTACCTTTATGGTTTGGGGTGCACTTCCAACACAATGGTTAAATCGGAAGTCGGCGGATCTGGAGTCATGGCCGCCTCCTCTAGTTTTGGATACAAATTTCACGGCGTTATTCTTGTTGTTTGCTGTTTTCGGCCTCCGGAGGCGTTCACACCGCCCCGGGACTGTCAAAAGAACGGCCCGGGATGAAGAACTGGGCCTATGAAAGGGGTCTAAACCACTGGGGGTCGACGTCGCGCACACAAATCACGAACTCGGAGTTCTGGGAGGGGGGGCCCAGGAGAGGGGAAGGAGGAGGAGGAGGAGCAGGAGGAGGAGAGAGGGAAACGAGGAAGAGGAGGAGGCGGAGGAGGAGGCGGAGCAGGAGGAGGAGGAGGCGGATGAGGATGAGGAGGAAGAGGAGGCGGATGAGGAGGAGGAGGAGGAAGAGGAGGAAGAGGAGGAGGGAGGAGGAGGAGGGAGGATGCGGAGGGTGAGGCGACGATGGAGGGGGGAGGGGCAATGCATATATGCATCCAGGGGCGCCGATGGTCCATGTCTCCGGCGAGGCTCCCCAGGCGCAGGGGGGCCCCTGGCCGCTGGGGGCGGCGCCTGATCTTTGGGTCTGGGCGCCCAACTCTCCGGCGAGATGACTTCGATCCATTCCTGCGTGTCTCTCCGAGTTCGGCCTCTCGCGGGGCGAGAAGCTGCCCCCAGGGACAACAGCACATCGTCGGATGCCTGGATGCGGCATGTGTCGTGAAGTCTCCAGCGCTGCTCCCTGACAACCCGCGCCTCGTTCAACCTTGAGCGACCACGGCTTGCCGACAGCGCAGCCTGCTCGATGTTCCATGTCAGAAAGGGTCGCCACCACCTCGAGGAAACGGGCCCCCCTGGACGTCCCAGACCCCCCCGCCAAGACTCCCAAAGGCATCAAAATATACCTCCCTCCTTCCCTCCATATCGATCCTCCACTTCCAGGAGGAGGTGGTGGCCCCCCTAGAAGTGACCCCCATCGGCACTGCACGCTTGACCCGCGGCAGGGCAGACCAAGAATAATAATAAGAATA